TGTTTGTAACAGGGATGGGGCAGAATCCCTTCCGGCCCTACAAGCAGTTATTTCAGTGCTGCACCTTGGCACGTCTCAGAGCAGCCCTTCTGAATCGCTCACCCTGAGCACTCTCCCTGTTTTACATCCCTCGTTTTCAGCTTGTTAAGTGAGTCCAGCTCCCCAGGCAGAAGGGTGGTACCTTCCAACTTTCAGGCTTGCCATGGTCTGTTTATCAGATCTAATGAAGACATTTATGGGTTGATGGTCTGACAGATGCTCAATTTTCTGACTGGATGAGGAAGTCAAACTGTTATATAAGAAGCCAATAAGTACCATTCATTCCTAAAGCAATAAAACACTGCTGCGTTTCCAAGTTAATTGGCACAACTGAGCCAGTTTGCTGGGAGTGAATTTAATCAAACTTTATCTTTATTTAGGGGCTTCTTTAGCACCCTGCACTATACTATCTGAGGATCTAGAACAGAGAAGATTGCTATTCTAATGTGCTGTTTTCCCTAGCTGCTTTCAGGATCAAAATGTATTGCTAACGCAGCAAAATGCTCTTGGAGACATTTACACCTTTCACCATTGGCATGTGTTTGGGGTTAACACAGAGGTTTCCCAGCAAATTGAAGTTCAGAAGGTTGTTCCTCTTCTTTACACAGAATACGTTGGTATTCTTTAAAATTCTAAAAATAGTTGAAGGTTTCCCCATTAAAAAAATGAATAAGGTTTACTCAGCACCGTCCATCCTAGGCGTTTACCTAGGCACCACTTGGCCATCCACCACGCATTAAATTCAGGAGTGTTTCGTGCTAAAGTGCTACGACTTGATGGGGCAGGTTTTATGGGTTCATTACAGTGTGCCTCTGGAGTATTGCAAGGCATGAGACCAAAGGCTATGCCCCATTGGCTGCCAGAGTCATTTATTAACGGCCCCATTAAACACTCCCTCAAGCTTTCGATTGCAGTTATCCAGTTTTCTGCCCCCCAAGTCCCCGCGATAGCTGAAGAGTATCCTTAGGGAGTGACAGCCAGGTACTCAGGTCAGCCCCCAGAAAAGCTCCAAGCCCAGGCTTTGCGTGCCAAGGTGCCCACCGCCACTGTAGGGCTGGCAGCCACCCCCCTGCCCCTTGATCCCTATGCACCAGCCACAAGAGGGGGACAGAGGCTTACCCTGCCCTACAGAAAAATCCCCTGAGTCTGGCAAGGTCGCGCTGTTCTTTCCAGAACTCCAAAAATCTCTCCCTTAAAAGGCCAAGGAGCCTCTTCATCTCTTGCTTAGCATCAGCGTTCTCACTCCCATGTACTCTCAGTAATAAAAAAATAAATTGTTCACTGCCTTAAGGAAACGTGCATATGGAAAACCCAGTTTAGGAGTAATTCACCTTTGTTATTGCCAGGAACCAGTGATGCACAGACAACAAGCCATGCAAAACTCCATCATGTTGACCTTTGAGGGCCATCATCCCTTCCTCAAGGTTTCCATCCTCTCTGTAGCTGCATTAATTGCATTCAACATTCAAGGATTAGTAGTAGTTCTGAGCTTTGTGCTATCTTGGGAGATATACATCACTACTCAGAAGTGACAGAAAAGAGGGTTAAAAAAAAAAAAAAGATACCCCTTAATCACTCTCTCATCAGCTATCCTGTTGTTTCTGCATTAGATGTCAGGCTGCATCTTTAAGAGCTGACCTGTCTCTGCAGCAAAAGCACAGAAAGCTGGCAGTTGAGGAAGCAGAACGGATGACAGTTTTTGGCAGTGGTTTCAGCTGTCTTGTTGGGTTTTTCAGATTAATCAGCCCCTTTGGAACACTGAACAGATCATCAGGACAATCCCTCAATCCAAGATCTTTTGCAGTGGAAAAAAAAAACCCTCATAAACTGGGACAGCAGCATAACGAAGGCAGTCTTCTGAAAGGGGCTCAGTCTTGGCTCTGAGAAAAGTCCTTATCAAGACAGTGTCTAAAGCCAATGGCATGTCTGCACCATCATCCCTCTGCATGTGCTCACACATGGTGTGTGTTTTCAATGTGATTTTTCAGGAAGTCATGAACTGACACAAAGCTTCTCTCCATGCCCCCCAAACCCACTATCTCATGCTTTGTTAAATACATCATGTTTCTGTCAGATGCCAAAACAATTGACCATTTTATTTCAAGGAAAAATCTTCCTTCCTAATATTTAAGACCACATTCATATGCTCAACACATTCTTTTTGAAACATTCGGTTTTACTCTGTGCAGAAGAAGAATTGACACTGCATCATTCAAAAAGATAGCTGTGTGGCCATGCCTCACTCCCTCTCACCCCCCAAATCAAGTGCTGCTAGGAATTGCTCTCTTCTTCCCCACAGAAAAACTGCTTAAACACTCCCCAGTCCTCCTCTCTCCTAAAAACGCAGCTTCATTTTAAACAAAAAAATGTAATAAGGAACTTTGCTGCACAGTTTCAGCCTTCCTCCATTACACAACAAACACAGCAAGCAGTTACGCAAGCTCCTGCTCACCGCGAAGCACCGTGTGCTGCTTACCGTTTGCCTAAGACAGCAAGCGCAGAGGTGCCAAAACTGAAATGCTGTTAATTCCTTGTGCTCCTCACCTAAAAGGCTGAGCTCCCAGTACTGATTGCCAATGCTTTTGACAAGGATTTATTATTATCCGTGAAATGGCTGGATATCAGGATCATGCTTGGCTTTCCCCCTGCTTTAGCAGCCCACTGAGGCTCTCCTTTCCCTGTCACACCAACAGGGTGCTGCCATTCTGAGCAGGGACGGCAGGCCTGAGCCACTCCATCTCCTGCAGGGCCATCCCAGCCCTTCACAACTCCTGGGATCCCTGGGATGTGAGCACTCCCAGCCATCACAAACCACACCAACAAAAGCCACCTATGGGGCTGATCACCCCCTGTGAATGGATCTTCGAGTACAACAGGATCCTGAACCTCTTGCACTGGAAGAAGGGGTATAATCTTCTGCACCTAAGAGCCAGCACTCCGAACCAGAATTACCAAACTGCCTTCTGCACTGTCAGACACCTGTGGTTATAATCTCATCGCTTCCATTCACGTGTTCCACGGAGCACCCAGTCCTCACCCAGCGCAGGGGTCCCCAGCAGCAGGATGAGCCACGAGGATGCAGCTCCCACACTGCTAGGATTCCGCTCCCACACTAACCCTCAGTGGTGGCTTGGCTCTTGCTTTTGCTCATTTGCTGTTTTCACTCACCCAGCTGCAGTCCCTGTGATGGGCATGGCCACTGCCAGGTAGCTGCGTGGTTCAGATAGGAGGCGAGGGGTGGCAGAACAGAGTACCAGAGAGAGGTTCTTATCACAAGCAGTTCTTACAGCAATAGCCCTGAGAAATCCCATCATAGAAGAGATGACTCAGTCTTGTGCAGACACTTTACACGTCCAGACATTCTTGAATATATGAGAACCTACTGCATATAAAAAATGACCTCTGACTTTTTGTGCCTCTGCTCTACACTGTCATAAACAAGAATATCATTTCAAGAGATGCTGTCAAATTATATTTAGCACGGTTTTCTATTTTGTTTAAAAATAAAAGTCTTCTGTAAAGCATAAAATGAATAGAATTAAGAAAACAATTCTGTGAAACAAAACAAAAAATGGTGCAGTTGCCTTTCAAACCCTTACCCTGTAGCACTGAAAACTTGGAATTGTCCACAAACGAATATGAGACTGACATGATATTTATTAACCAAGCCTAAAATAGCACAGAACAAACAGAATACAAATCATGGCAAGTAAAAATTAATTTAAAAAATGCAATTTAATAATCTAACAGTTTAGGGGCAATATGCGGTTTGTATTGGCAGTGGCCTTTTAATCTTGCAAATCATATAATTAAGAAAACGTAATTAGCAAAAGCAGTGTTTGAATATTAAAGCTGTGAAAATATCTCAGGAAAAAAAAAAAAAAAAACTGCAAGTATTGGCTTGAACTTTTTTTTTAAGCCTCAATTCTGCAACTGCCTGCACTTCTACTAACGTAAATAAAAGGCAGGAATAAATAAACGGTAGGAATAGTCAGGAAATTGTGAAGTCAGAATATTCCCCAAACCCAAAATTGCAGCTGCTTACACCAGGGCCCGAGGCGCCTCAGCACAGGGAGCCGCAGCAGCGCATCCTGCCTCCCCGCACCAGCTCCCACTGCAGCCCTGACACGTTTCACACACTCAAAGGAGAACAACCCACACCCCCCCAACACCTCCTCCAAAAAAAGGGCTCCTGGCAATTTTCAGTCTTGGAAACCTAAGTTAGCTTCGGACCCGAGCTGAAGGGCACTGGCACAGCAGCACGCCATCGCGTCTCCCTCCCTGGAGAGATGCATGAGGTTCCCAGAGCTCATAATAAGGACACCCACAGCCAAAATTCACACCACCCTTGTGTTTTAATCAGATGGAAAAAAAAAAAATCAGAACGCTGTTAAGCACCGAAACATCTGTAAAATTTGAGGGAGAACTTTCTGTGCCTCAGAAAACCAGAGGTCGGGTTCACTTACTGCTAGGAGACTGCTGGAAAGTTAATGTTTGCAGCAGAGCATCTTACACAGATAGAGGGCTTGGCTACATTCAAAGTTTCTTTTGCAATATTTGCTCAAGAGAGTTTTTATTGTTGCTGTTCTGCTTTAGGACATGTGTTGTGTTTTAGTAAATAAATGATTTATCATTGCCTTCAATATTGTTCTTAACTTGATTTGATTGCTTTGTTTCTGGGGATAATTCAGTGATTTTTTTTTTTTTTTTTTGGTCTGCTTTAGGGACAATTTCCAGTATAAGAATGGAGCTCTGAACCCAAAGCAGATCCAAATTTTCTCCAGGAAGCCCCTCAGCCCTCTCTTCTGACCTTCAAGCTGTGTTCTACTTAGTTTGCATAGAATAAGAGCCCTCAGATCCCAGAGCTTCATCTATATTTTCTTCTCCCTTCAAATTCTTTTTATCCTCTATCTTTTGATGGAACTCAGCACTCAGCAGTGACTACAATATGTTGTTTAATAGTAGTCTGCAGAATAGTGCTCTTGGACATAGATCTTTGGTTCTTTAAAAAGAGATTATTCCAAGTAAAAGTAACAGAAAGAGGCAGCTTATGCTCTCAGTCATATCACTGGGTTATTAATTGTAACAGAAATCAAGAGTGACTGCTAGGATATGACGAGAAAAGTTTCCAAGCACTGAGTTCCAGGGCACTCTGGGGTCTCAGGCATGGGTAGGAGGTTCACCAATCCCTGGTTACAGCAGCAGAGAAGTGCTGGGTTTGGCTTCTCGACTCCCTGCAGCACAGATTGTCAGGGCTTCCTTCCAGCCCTGCTTTCCCCTTTACAGAGACCAACACTTGGCTTTGCCATAGACCTGAAAACCTTCCTGCATAAGGCTAACCGGCAGCAGCTACTCCGCATGGCAAGCGTGCCATTTTAACAAATTCATTCTTTTCTTGACTCGTAATCTGAAGAGCATGGTTGTGCTTGGCAGTTGACATCCAGCCCAAAATAATGACACATTAAAGGTTTTAATCTCCTATCATTGGGAAAGGTTTCCAAAGAAAACAGAGGTGTATGGATTGCATCTCCCCATCTCGTCCGTGCGTTACCCAAACAGATGTCACCATGTTAATCCGTGGGAGCCACTCCATCCTCCAGCCAGAAAGGAGGGCAAAGTTGTCTGGGTAGATCAGCTGGGCAGCGGACATCTGTGCTACAAGTGGATCCTCTTCATCTAATTATTTTTTCCTTTTCCAAGTGCACCACGTTATACAAACAAATGAAATCTAGGTCGGTTTTGGCTATCAGTAGGGCTCCTCCAAACACCCACAGGACACCCTGCTGTTAGCCGAAGCCCAAACACCAGGGGCATTCACACAGCCTGCAGGAATTCGCTTTGGGTCTGTTCCCCTCCACTGCAAAGCTCTTGGTGTGCCAGGAAACGCTAATAAAGACAGGAACAAAAGTCTGGTCCTTATTTGTACCTGTCAGAGAACCCAAGGAAGGAGGCTGACCAACCAAGGAAATTAACATTTGTTTCTGACAGGAATCTACGCAAAAGGACAGGGTTTTAATTTAGGACTCTTTTCATCAGAATGATAACAGCTGTCATCTGCTGTGTGAGTGCAGTAATTACTGCATCTCCCGCGTGGAAAATAAATACCTGATGTTTCATTTACACAGTAATATCTCAATCTGCAGTTCCAGAGCCAGCCAGCAACATTCCCACGGAACAACTTACATGTACTCAACCCTGGAATTCCTGCTGTTAGACAAGCTCCCCTCCACTCCCCCTCCAAAAAAAACACCCCAAAGTAAACAAAAAAACCAACATCACCTCAATAGTTTTCCTATTCCTTCCAACAAAAAGGAAGAGTCTGGAGTAGTATTTTCGATCCTAAAGATTCAGAACACAGCCTGGTTTATCCCACTCTCCTGGGCTCCTTGAAATTGATCAAAGTGGAGTTTTTTGTGTGTGGTGGTGGTGTTGTTTCCGTGATTTTTGTTGCTCATCCTTTTTAAGGTGACTTGAATATCCAATCTCACCTCAAATTGTAAGCTGTTATTTCTAGTCTCATCTGCCACACGTAAGGGGAAAAAGGATGATAGTTTTATTTGCCACTGCCACACTGGCACAACACAAACAGGGAGACACACAGCTTGGATTCAGACATCCACTCTTCTGGTTTAAAAAAAAAACAAAAATGTTTGAAAACATTTATCCAGCCATTGGTTATGGATCTAGTTTCTCCTAAGTTGAGGAACTTTGTTTTTGTATGATTTCTGATTCAGTTTCTTCACAGAAGCAAAGTTGGATTTTGAAAGCTAAGCAGCCTGATGAAAGAATGCAACGCAATGCTCTTGCTTACTAACACAACAGCCTAGCTAGCGTCATGAGAATGAAACTAATTAAAAAAAAAAAAGTATTTCCACCCAAACACACATAATTGTACACCACAGATCACTTCAGAACTATGGGACTCCTAATCATTAAAACAAGTGAAGTAAAATTATACCTGAAGTAAAATTATACAGAACTGCTTGTAGAAGCCTGGGCTGCATCACGGGGCAGGGGGCCAGGAGCTCAGCATTTCCAAGCACTGAAACGTACCACTAATTCCTGTGTAACCTCACACCTTTCAGACCAAAATGATTTCAGTTTTTATTGCGTTGCTTTTTAATCAATCGAAGAGGATGTGGAAAATAACATCAGTTTCCAAGTGATTTATCTAATCCAATTTCAATCAATCATTTCCCCCTTTTTAGCCATGCCCTGAAGATGTTTTCCCTACAACTGGTTTGCATTTAAATGAGTAAGGACATATTCCTTTTGCATACACAGGCCATGCAGCAGCATGCTTGAATTCAACAAAAGATGCCTACCAGTTAAAGCTTCATACAGCAGTTTTCCTGCTTAAATCTATCAAATAGCAGCTTCTAATTTTAGTGTTTTGCTAATTGTCAACATAAAAGCAGGGAGTTGGGAACCTATGTGATCTTGTTTTGATCAAATCAAACGAGTTTCATGCGAGGCAGCAGATAAATATGAAGCACTTAATTTATCTAAATATATGCTATCTAAATATTTGAAAGCACATGCTTAAATCCTATCAGTTCCAATGCCTTTTCAGGCAGTCTTTGACTGTCTCGATTAATGCATAGCTTGGGATTTCAAAGCAGCAAAGGAATCGGGGCGTTTGTATCCTCCAGAGATGTAATGAAGCCTGAATGGATGGAGATGGCAGTTGCTCTGAAGAACAGCCAGAAATCAGCCTGAAGGAGATGTTTGAAACAGAGATGGCCAGGTTGTTTATTTTTGTGGGTTTCTTTGTTGTTGGCTTTGTTTTATTGGTGTTGTTGTTGTTGTTTGTTTTTGTATTTTTTTAAGGAAGGAATCATTCTTTCCTATATCAGTATAGTTGAAGATTTTTTATTATGATTTAAGCCCTCCTTCCCTCCTGAACAGGATGTTCTGTTCCATGATTTTACTTCACCAACAGGCATTTTTCTGGTAAGTTGACAGGCTACTGATGAAGAAATTTTGGACAATATTTCATGTAAAGGAAGGTGCTTCTTTAAAAGGAAAGCCTGGGATTCAGGATAGGAGAACTAAGCCAACAGGAGTGCTTGGAATAACGAATGATTTTTCAGCAGCTGAAGCAACAATCCTTTACATTTAAGATTATTTATTCCAACTCACAGTGTGGGAGTACTTGCAGCAGTTATTAAGACAGAAAGCACTCTTTTTTTCCTAATTCCAGACCAGTGTTTATCAACTTCTTTAGCTTTTTCTCTTGGCAACAGCATAACATCAATTCTCCTTCAACAGGTGAGCCAGAGCAGCCTTCACATCTTTTCAGAACTCTGACACAGACAGATTTTCTTGCTAGGATCCTTTAAGAAAGACTCATATTTTGGAGAATTTTGTCTTCAAAAATTGAACTAAAAGTCTGGATGGACAGTAGGTAAATTTACTAGTAAATGTGAAACTGCGTATCTGCACTCTGAAGATTATTTCCAGGTGTTCTGTAGAAATTCAGTTAGGTTTTCGTTTTGTTTTAAATATAGCATAGCTATTAACATCATGTTCCCCACTACTCTATAGTTATTCACTTTAACTTGAGTAAAACACATGATGCTAAATCACTGCTGGCTGATACAAGTCTACATTTAGCTCTCAAACTTAAAGAAAATGTAATACAAATGGGGTATGATTTTCTAAATTAATCTGCAGTGTTACAGACAGTATCTTCGCTCTTACAAAACAGTGGTTTAAGTAACTAAACTAATTTTAGATCACCATCTGTGTGCAAATTTGTCTCTGAAAACACACCTTAAGTACTAGTCATCCTTCAATTTAGAGGCTCAAAGAACTGTTTCATCAGCAAATGGTTTTGTTAGGAGCACCACTGAGTAATTGCAGGGCCTCCACCACGATGCTCTGTGATACCTGCGCCTTCTCACGCAATTTACTGTCACACCCAGGTGGTCTTTGAGATGAACATCTCAGAAAACAGAGCTTTTAGCCTGTCTACAACTATGGTCAACACATCAATTCTTTCTCATTCTCTTGAGATGTAAGATTAGGAAAGACAAGAGGTAAAGAGTGCAGCGTAAGCAGAACAAATAAGCATGTTTGTTGGCTGCATGAAGAGTTATATACTCCACTTGCTATTTTGAAACACAACACAAAGGACGTTCTGTAACCGTGTTATGCATCTCCAAACCTACAGTTAAGTTTAAACAAGAAAATAACAACTTAGGTCATATAAGAAAACATTAAGAGCAAATGGCAAGTGTTTCAGAGTTAGTCCTTCAGCTCTTCAAACGAGATTTCCATAAGTGCCGATTCCTGAAGCTTAGAAAATGACACAGCCCTGCCTTGACACCTGTCCTCCCACACCATTAGACACAGCACAGCTCACAAGGGACATTCCCATGTGCTCTTTCCAAATCAACAACTGCAAATGTATCTACGAGCAAAGCAAGACTGTCAAAATAAAAGCATGCAACAGGTCGGTTCATTTGCTTCGGAAATGACAATTTTCCCACTTAATGTACAGTTGAGAACTGATCCCAGTTGGAAAGGGAAGGCAATTGCTCAACTGAGCACCCACTCTAGCAATTTTTGCATAATTAGAAGAATATGTTTAGTCTTAACTTTCTTCTGATGAATTCAGTCACACCTGTTTATGTGAAATCAATTAAGAGACCTTAATCTTCTTAGACGGTTTCCAACACTCCATCCACAGGTTCAGGCCTGTTTCTTGTATTGCAAAATTTAAATTATATTAAAAAAGAAACAATTATCCTATAAACATGAAGATTTAAATTACACCTTAATAATTAAAACCAGTTACACTCTTAGTCTTGCAGCCTTTTGATGGTCAGACATATCAAATAGTGCTGTCCAGTTTGACTTGGACGAGTAGAGGAGTGAGCAGAATAACCCCAAAGCAAGACCAACATGAGCACAGCTACATGCCTGCCCCGTGCTGCCTCGTGCCAGAACACACATTCCTGTGCCTGGATCCGCTCATGACTCGTGCTGTGACGTAAAGGTAATGTCTGGTAATGGGTTCATCCAAGGAAAGAGAGTTGAAAACTCCTCCCCACAGCATCCAAAATCCCCCTGCTTACAGAAGAATTTTGGGGGAAGGATTTAATTCTGCCTCACTTCAGACAGATTCCTAACATAGATGCTGACAGGAGGTCAGAACCAATCGTACTTCAGAAGTGCCTGTATTTCTCCCCTATGAAGGGAACCTCTACAAGAAGCCTGAGTGGACACGGTGGGATTTGTCTCATTAAAAATCTCCACTAGAGGGGACATACAATCAACACCAACATCTGGTGAAAGGAAAGGTGTGTTTATATTTATACCCCCAGTCATCTGTGAAGTCTGAAGATAGCCAATCAGATGACACTTTAGAAAACAAAAGTGTGTCTAGTCTGCACTGGGTATAGTTTGTGGTTTATAGCATGAAGAGTCCTGGCAGCGTTTTATGCCAAAGGAGAATTTGAATCTCACATCTGTGTTTGTTTCTTGGATCTACTATGCTGGCACATGAGTCATCTTAAGAAACCTTAAATTACTTTTCATCATACATCAAACATTATAAAAGGCATTGAATCTGTGTCCAGAAAGAGTTCAAACTGAAGTGGAAGTTTGCTCTCAGGACTCTCACAAGACTGTCCAGTGGGACACGCATGAAAAGTGGTTGGTATACTTTTGAATTTTGGGTGCCAAATCTGTTTAACCTGCAGAGCTGCACAAGGCTGCACGGAGGTGAAACAAAAACAATGAAAACTTCTGTCTTTAACAGAGGAAACCCTGCCATTTCCTATGTGTTTTCGGAAAGCTGACCTGCTCCACAAGGCCTCCATGGAAGCAGAGATTGATCCTGCTCAGTGGAAGGAAATAAGGAGCTTTTGTTGCACTAGCATACACGCTCCTTCAAGCTAAGTGCTTTATGTTGTTTTTGAAGATGGATTAAAAAAACAACACAAGGGGTTGCCACTGAAAACCCTTTTCCCCCCGTGACCCCTAGAAAGGGAAAATATCAAGTAGCAGCTAAAATCCAATTGAAATCAACTTCTGTTTTATAAAGTTTGGGTTCCGTTCTAATTGTTAAGGAGACACATAATAACTGGCTTTAACATAATTTTCTTTGGACTATCTCCCCAAAGCCACAATTAATGTAAATACCAGTGTCTTGTTAGTAATTTCCTTTCATCAGTAAATGCTGAAATGCAATGATCCGACCACAAATCACAAAGCAAATAAGCTTGCAGCGCTGTGCAGGCTGTGTTGTTATTATGCAGTTTGTACACGAGAGAGTTGATAAGGGAATTGTTTTGTGAGCAGGAGTAATCTTTGACTACTTGGAAGAGTTTCCTTTCGCTAGAAAGCGGCAGCAATCCTACCTTTCCAAGAAATAAAGACAGCAACTTGTAAGGGCACTTAAGGCAAACTCACATGAAGGAGCAAGAGCAGGTTCAGGTCTCAGGAAGTCAAGATAAACCAGGAATAAATGTGGGACTGGAGACCAGACCACAGTCTCCCTTCTCCATACACAAACACAAAAGGATTTCCTCATCCTCTGGTATTTTCCTCAGTCGCTCCTAAGAGGCCTCCAGTGATGGAGCATGAGATGCCTTCCAGCCTCACTCTCTTCTCTGTGCTAAGAGATCAATGGGCAAAGAGGAAGAGCCCCTGGCACACGTGAACCTCAGTCTTTCTGGTTCTGCCTCTGCTGTGTCCTTTTTTAGCTTTTACTTCCTGGTACACAAAAATACAGGTATTTTAATGCTCTTTTTGTTTTCCCCTTTGAAGCCAAACATATATTCTTGGCTGTTAAATCTACATCTCCACTTAAACAAAAAGATGGAAGATTCAAATAACCAGAGTAGACTTCAGTCTCCCATCAGCCAAGACCCCCCTTTGCCAGAATGCATCTTCTCCACCAAACCCTCAGTCATAAATTCCTCACTCAATAAAATAAATAAAAAAATCCACCACACACACAAAGTTCCTGAACTCTGTCCAAGCCAGACTCCTTCCCAAAGAGGAGTGAAATGCAACACAGAGAGCCACACACCATCACAGGTGCTGTTCTAGCACTGCAGAAAGAAAAGTAGACAGAACTATTACCGAAGGCAGGGGGAGGAAAAGAGAATGAGGAATACTGGTAACATATGCAGTAGAAAAAGATGCTTGGGAGAGGGGAAAAAAACAATGAAAAGAAAACTTTACTTGAAATACAATTGGTACACAGCAAAACAACATTCAACTCCATGACTGCAGTGACATACTTGTTGCAGCAGGAATGCAGTGCAATGGGTTACAGGGATGCATTTCTGACACCATGTACAACAGCGGCAGGTAGCACTTCAACCAGAATAAACCCTTGTCTTCAGTTTAGCTTGTTACGAAGGGAACAGTTCCATCCCTGTGCTTCCATACTGCTCTATCAATTAGTCTCTCAAGAGTGGCTGCAGAGCTGTCACTTACCAGTGGCGTAGAGCTGTCATCCTCCTGACTAGGCCATGTGAGTCTGTTCCCAGGCAGTAAGAGCTGCCACTCATAGCTGTGAGGAAGAAGATGGAGAGATAACTGAATTAATCCCTTTGCTTTTCTAAGCCACCTAAGCAATATCCTTCTGTATCTGAACATCCTGTAGTGCCTCTCTTTGGGTAAGCATGCAAAGAGGGCACGATACCATGCTTTCAGCTTCTAAGTGTACTTGTCAAAAGGACAATGTGCTCGTGGCCAAGAAGTTTGGACACAAGGAAGTGAAGCATGAAGCTACATCACAGTCTGTCATTTTTTGCTAAAATACATTCTGCTTTCTGGACTCTCTAGCACTGATCTCTGCATGGGTTAACTTACTCCACTGCTGGAAGAGACACTTGCTTCCCATGCCGCAGAAAGTACAGCCAGGTTATTCTGCCAAATAAACCAGTCACAACCAGCTCAGGTATCTCTGTGCTGCAGTACTGCCTGCACTGTAGACATTCATCACATCTTCTCAGGTCAGAGATTAGCCCCTAATCCCTTGGCCATGTTTCCCTGTAGGAACTTCACAGTATCTGGGCTTCGCTCATCTCTACAACCTATGGTTTTGCAAGGTCCAAGCTCCTTTGCAAGGATTGCAAAACTTGTTTGAACTTGTAAGTTCTCCCAGTGCTCATCCTTCCCCCAGTCTAACATGTTGGCAAGAGGGCTGAAAACATGGCGAAAATAAATAAATATTGAACCTGCCCTGGAAGTCAATAATTTCTCAGAAACTGATCAGACAGATATGGATACAGACACACAGAACTTGAATTTATCACCTTTGTATGTTCTGACATTCTTTTCCCCCCGTCTTTTTCCCTCTAAACTTATTTCATGTTCCAGTTCCCACACTAATTTCTACTGTGGGTTTTCTTTATGCTTCTGGTGTAACTGTCATACATCCCTTTCCATCTTGTTCTTGCCATGTAGTTAGAAGTGCACATAAATGATTGCAAATGCTTGCAACCTCACTGCAGTACGTTTCCCAACATTAAGCTCCTCCAGCACCCTGTTGATTCCAATCACTCTGAATTTTATTACCCTTCTTTGTATTGCCTGACTCCCTGACCTGACCCTATAGTTTACAGTTAGCCCAACCCTTCCGTTTCCATCAGAAGACACTTCTCAGCTAATATTAGAATCAAGTCTTTTAGAGCTACTTAAACAATAAAAATTCTAAAAAGTCCTGAAGGGTGGAACCAGGGATGCAAAAAGCACAGGAGCAATAAGCTTGTTCCCTAGCAAGCATGATCAAAATGATGGATCTTGCCAGAAGTGCCAGTTGCCCAATTTTTATTCTTAGTAAAGCTGCAGGGTTTCCTTCACACCCTTTAATTACTCAAACCTTACTTAAGGAAGATGGTTCAAACAAACAAACATAAAAAAAAAGTTACAACAACGTAGGATGATCTTGACATACAAGATGTCAGAACCATTTTAAACCCCTTTATTCCAGAATGATGTCTTTTGTGCTTCGAGGCATGCTTGCTATTCATAGATCTACTGCTCAGCTGTTCCAGTTTTTAGTTCTGCATAAATGCCCACTCATTATGTCCAGAGGGTTTTGCCTGTAGCTTTGTGTTTGTAGCCTTGAGGCAAATGTCTTGATGGCTTAGGGAACTCGTAGCGAATGACCAAATAACATCGGATTTTCCACAGCAACGAAGCCATTATGGGACAGCATTTCTATGTAACAGCACCCTTCAGTGTGCAGTCATTATAACTAAGGATTTAACCAGGCTCTAGGGACGTAACAAAATCACTCTGAAGCCAAAAATCCACAGTGAAATATTAAGCATTAGATTTCTGAAATGCCTCTCACAACTGCTTGAGTCAAGCTGCTTTGGCACTGGGGAAGGAGTTTTATGCACATCTTAACCATGTATCCAAGTATTCAGACCGGTGCACACAGAGCTGGGGGTGCAGCATGCATCAGCTGCACGCAGATTTTGCAGCTGCATACAAAGCCATCAGAAGCTCGCACATGGCTCCTACATAACATTAATATTTTTAAGCATACCATTTTCACTACCAAAAAATGTTCAAGTACATCGCTTACGGTATAAATAGAAATCTGTAGTTACACAGCTCTTGTAGGTCTTGCAGCCCAGAGAGTGCAGAGCCCCAAACCAGACCCAGTGTAGTTGCAGTGCTCTCAGCTGACTGACAAGAATGGAGCTGGTGAGGTCCTGCTGAACCTGAGACCAGCTTCGTGGTGGAACAGAAGACTGTGATGAAAAGAACCAAGGACATGGCATAAGGGATGGGCAAGAGCTGCACCAGGAGAGGTGTGCAAGCTGACCCAGGCTGCAGCCCCACAGCCACGCTCCAACCTCCCTTTTCCTATGGCCTGAAAAAGCTCAGGAGTCAAGCCAGACTCCACTGCTTCATCCTCAACTCCTCGACCTCCAACCACCACCCAAGGGGCACAGGAGGGCAGGGGCTCCTCTCATGCCCACACACTCCTGCACGGTGCCCATAGGGCAAGCAATACCTGCTGCAGCACCCACAGCACCTCCTCCCCTCTGACCCTGGCAAATGTAGGGCTGTTTCTGTTGGCTTTTTACATCACATTTGGGCTCACTGTCCCTGCGAGGCACCCCCAGTGCTGCTGACAGACCCGCAGTGCCCTGAGGTGAGCTGCAGCCTGCCAATTATGTGAGCAAAAGACAGATTTTGAGAAGCCACAAACGAAGCTAGGGCCTCTCCGTTGAAGGAATCTCTCAAACTGAAAGAGAAGCATTGGCATATGAGCAGCTGAAACCTATTATAAGCACTTCTGTTCTCTGAGAAGGTCAGGCTGCACACACACAGGTACACACACATAGGACTGCAGCAAAGCCCACCTGAATGCCTCTGATCTCAGCACTGGAAGAAGAGCTCACGCTGATAGCATGACTGTTCTGACGGAGGGGTGGGAAGCAATCGTATGCGGAGCAATTTGTGCAAGGCAATCCACACCCCCCTCATCTGCAGATCTCATAGGGGGCCTTTGTTAATGAGCTTGCAGTTGTGGCACATGAGAAGCTTCATTGCAGCCTCAAGAAGAGGAGGCAAGACACCTGCCTGCTTCACATATGGCCACTTCCTCCCAGCAAAGGTGGGGAATTAAATTGAGCTCAGGACAGCGTGGTTGAGAGAGCAGGTGTCCTGGCTCCATCAGTCCTGGGGAGAAAGAATGAGGCAGAGCTCCCAGCTGGGTCCTTCCACCCTTTAGCACATGTGCCCCAAGACAGCCAGCATTTCACCCAGCGTACATCTCTCAGGATGAGCAGCTGTGCTTTAGGAACTGCAGAGATGCTCAGGGTAGGATAAGGGCTGCATTGATGAGGCAGGAAGTTGAAGCATGGATCAGAAATGCATGACTGCATGGAAAATATCAGAGGTGTACTGAGACAAATGACCCTCTTGTATAAGAAGGTGTTGTGGTCCAGCACTGGAGTGAGATGGAAAAGGAGCTCCCAGTCACATCACACCCAGTTTGTAACCCTTGCAGACAAGAGCTATCGTATTATGACATGACTCAGAAAAGCTAACTACAACACAAGGACTAATCTGGCTGCCCATCTCGCCCCAGATACAGCGTGATTTTTACATCTCTGAGAAGGCTGGATTAATAGCAGGAGCCAGCAACATCACTGTCACAACATGTTAGTGCTGCCAGGAGAAGTAGCAGGAAGAATAACATCTGTACTATAGAGGCTTACAAAATGGTTCAACCCAGCAGCATCGCTAGGCACTGTTTTAGCTCAGCAGTGACTCACCATAACTGCTCACATGCTCCTCACATGCTGGAAACACCACGGAAGGCTCCCCTCAGAGAGTCTTTCAGCAGCCCCTCTGGGGCCACACTGCAGGTTGGCGAAGCCAAGAGCAGTTGTGCATTTTACTATCATCTTCCCTCCCCGTAGATGCAGTTTCCTACCTGCCCTAGTAACTGTAGATTTTAACCCTGATGGAAGGAGCCTGGGGGTTACATGGTTGCTTCCCTCCCCCCACCCTCCCTTTTTTTGTGAGGATGTACATTCTTTGACACCCTTTCCTTGTAATAAGGTCAACTAACACATGCCAAGTGAACATGTTCCTTTGAAAGAGAGAAGGGTTTAGTTCTTTCCATTAGCCACCCAGTTCAGGCTTCAGTTGTTTTTAGGTTTCTTCCTTAAACTCAGTTACCTCCTTCTCTTCAAACTGCTCTTTTGGATAAACTGGAAATCAAAAATTTTGCTGTATACAAATTACTTTAAACACCATCCCAAAGCTGCCTGCATCTGATGGTCTTTCAAGTCTCAAAAAATAATTGCAGAACACAAGAGTCACCTGAGAGATTTTCAGCAGCCAGACATCAAGTCACCAGCTGCAGGACTCAGCTCTCACACCCAGCAGCAGCAGCACAGACTGGTTTGCTTGACTGGTTATTGTAATGTGGCTTATTAAAGTCTTGAGACAATATTCCACAACATCCTGGCACCAGCACATCACATAAGCATTTCCATGTTTCCTCCAAAGCAGAAGGCTTCTTGACACCCCCTAAACACACACCGATCCAGGCTGTATTTAGGGTTGAGGGAAGTGTAGGAACCACAAGAGGATTCAGCTTTTCTTGCGTCCTTCTGAAAATGGCAGCGTGATCATACAACTCATTCTGGATCTGTGCACACTTTAAAAGACAGGGATATAAACCCTGGAGAAGAAAGCACATTTGCAAATTAAGTAACCCATATCTAGCACAGATATGGAGCATGCAGACCTCTTTCAGTGTGTTTGTGCATTTTCCCCCCCCATTTCGAGGTTTGCACACTAGTACAAAGCAACAGATTTCCCCACATCCACAAACTATGGGGTTTATTTTATAAGAGATGTGAAGGAATGGAAAGGGAGAAGGAGAAAAGATAAAACGTTCTGTATTTGTATTATATTTTCTCACCAGACCTACGCCCAGTTCCTTACACAACCACTTTATACTGGGCATGTTAGGCTCACAGTGTGGATTCCCTATCCACTGCACTTCGCACCCCAGGATCATTCACACCCCTGACAGCTTTGCTATGGTGAGAAGCCATGTACCTGTTTAGATATATATGCTTAAGACAGAAATAAATACACCCTTTCGATCTGCAGATCAAATAATGTGCGCAAATAATTAGCTGCTATTTATTTAGGTGATTCTTAGGGGCCTAAGTATATGCCTGAGGGGATGAGAGATAACTTGGGATATAACTCACTGTGACAAGTCACAAATTCACACCTCTTGTATCCAGTGCAAGCAGCTGGCCCTGCTTTTGTTGCTGTACAAACAGAAGGACATGCTCTTGTACATGGACATAGCCATGGACAGCACTGCTAAGTCCTAGAGAAAAGCAGAAGACCACAACTCTGTGAGTCCTGCACAGTGTTTGAGTGAGGGATTAGTTAACCCAGCCCTGCTGAAACAAACATCGCAGGAAACTCAATACTGCTTCTCATTCAAGTCTCTTCATCACTTACAAGTACAGGGCTGTACTGGAAGCTGTTTGGTTGGCTTTCAAATAAGCAACAACTGAAAAATGACTTCCAACTATATCTGCTGGCCATCCCTGTTTCCAGCAAGGGAACTGGACACCTGCCCCAGCATCATCCAGGAACTTGCCCACCCATGCTTCACCACATTTGTAGGGAAGCAGGTGTGCTGCCATCCAAGAGGGGCATTTTGAAGCTCAGATTTGCCTGCTGCACTCCCTTTGAATGCTGCAGTTATGGCTAACAATGTGCATAGCTACACTCAGGGATATATAATCATACTTTTCATAAGCACGAGCTAACATTTCCTAATGCATCAAGATTTATAGTTTCCCATGGAATTTTCCTCTTCACCTCCATATATTTTTCCACTAAAGATTAGCCCCTAACGTGCAGGAGGGGCAGTCAGCCCTGCAACAAGCCCTCAGCAGCCTGCTGTGTGGGGCAGCCTTTGCCTGAAATCCACTCATTCACAGCAAGCCAGCACCGGCTGAGCCTGCAAGTAAGGTGCATTTCTGAGGAACATACACCATTTATTGACCTCTGCATTAGCATCCGAGTCACTCACAGTAATTGGGCAAAGCAAGAATACCTCGGGTTTGTGACTCGACAAGCTTCGGCAGCCCTCCCCATGCAACAGCCCTGCTGCAGAAGGAGGGTTTCCTCCAGCATGCAGCAGCCAACAGATGGGAGAAAGCGCTCATCCTGAGGGATGCGTTCCCAGGTCACAGGTCTGATTCTTACTTTGTGAGCACCCCTCTACCTCTGGGTTTTTCTTTTGTCCAAGGACACGTTCCACAACAGATTCCACCTTTAGACTGTCACCCCTGAAATCATTTCAAGCCCAGATACTGACACTGTCATTTTGGGAGCCCTGGGCTTCCGATATCCTATTCTGTAGAGCTCTTTCACCTATTTTCTTCCCTTTTATGCAAAAAGGAAAAAAAAAAAAGAAAAAAAAAAGTTTCCTCAGTTTTAATCTTGTAAAACACATTATGCAAATTTATGGTTTTATGTAAGATGATGGCCTGTGGCCATATCACCCCCGGCCCCGGCTGTGATCTCGTCAGATCTCCCAGCCCAAACAGGCCAGGGCCTGCTCAGCACTGGCTGTGAGACCTCCAGAGTGAGCCAGGTGCTGCCCAGTGTGCTCCGGTAGGTGGCCCCGCCATCGTGAGTCAGCACCCATGGGTGCCCAAGTTCAGCCTGGCTGTGGGCACGAGCTAAAGCTCAGGTCCCCACGGAGCTTCGCAGCATCCCCGCACACCATGAGGCAGGGGCAAGGCGCTTCCAAAAGGTGTTTGCCATACCCTCCATAGCCCAGGCAAACAGTACTATCTGAAGCAATCCAAATAGCTGATGATGGTTGTCTTTTCTTTCTTTCTTTCTTGTTTTTTTTTTCCTCCTCTCACAACTTGCATTACATAAGATAAATGAATGAAAAGGAAGCCTCATAACTGATTTAATACATTTCTGCCACACTCAAACTCTCCTTTTAACCAGCACCCAGCAACTCATTCTCATCTTTGCCCTCCAGGTGCAATTGATTACCCCATACCTTTCCAACAAACAGCATTTTGGCTGCATTGCTCCTTAATGCCAGCATCAAGCATTCAAGTCCTCAGAAGTCTTAAGCACAGATTAACTTTACAGTCATCTTTGTTAATGGTTATAGTAGTTTTCTCCTCTGGATGAGCAGTTTTTCTGCAACAAATGCCTGGAAACCCTCTACAGTGGAACACCTCAACACAGCCTTACCTGAATCTTATCCACTTCTATCTCCCACCAGACAAAGCCACTAACTACAGCTTTTATTTGCCAAGGCAACACAAAGATTTCATGCTATTGGAGCTAGAAAATAAGACTTGAGGCTCTGAACAGGAGACCCTCCCATTTGTATGCAAACATGCATAATTTTTCTCCTCCTTTAACGTCATCACAACAGCTGCATACACACAGATGTACACCCTGTCACCAGACACGCACACAGCAGACTGAGGAGAAGCATTACCTTTGCTGAAATGCTGGTGCAGGTAAGTCCAAGAGGAGCCCAGCCCAGCACAAACGCCGGGGAAGAAATGTTTCAGGCTGTTAGCTGCAGCTCTGCTAAAGTCAATCAGCCCCAAACCCAGCTGATGCCCCTCAGTTAATCAGGTGACCTCACAGCCTAATTGCTAAACCTGCTTTCACTGGGCACCTCACATGTGAGGTCTGGAAAAACAGTAACCTCTGCAGTGAGGCGAAGTGGTAAAGCCTCTATCCACATTACAGCCTTCCCTGAGTCACATCAACTGGTTACAGCCTAGTTAAAAACTATAAATTTTCAACTTAATATAATAAGACCTCAACTGTGAAAGGGCTTTTTCCTCTTATGGCCAGAACCTGTCTGCACTGGTGTTTTCAATAATATCCCCACTGGGGTTTCTGGGTTCAAAGTAGTAAAGATCTAGAGCCTCATCCAGTGTGTTTCTGGAACAGAAAATACAGTTGGGCTTAAGCCCTAAAGGTTACTTGGTTATGTATCTGTGATGCAGGAACTTTCTGCTGGGAGGTTTGGTGGTCATTACTTCATGAAAAAAGGGAACTTGTAAGACACCCGAGGATAGATGTCCAAATATCAGACAGTGGCTTCTAGCAGCTCAGGACCTGCTCCCAGTCCCACTGACACTTAGAGCCACAGGGCTTCCTTTGCACCTACGTGCACCTTGAGCTCTGAAAACGCACATTTTCAGGCATCTCCAGCTCTAAATATCCTCCAGCTTCTCTCATGTTTTCTTTCTCTGGATTTCACCACACCTTAGCCTTAAATACAGAGTGCCATTTTGGGGTAATTAGAGATTCCTAATTAATTAGAGTTATAGATTTAAGGATTCCAAGCTTGACAAATGAGCTCAGGTAAATTTTGCAGCACAGGCTGGAGAAAATTACTGGCCCCAGCTACCTGTCCTGCCCCTGTGCTGGAGGTTAATTACTGTTTCTCTTGCATAGCCAAAACCACGCGCGCCTCCATCCCAGCTGCTCCAGCTCCCCGTCCAGCACGCAGCTCAGTCGCAGCAGCACCCAGCTGCCAGGCTGCACCAAGGCTTCGCTCAGCCTTTGTCCCACAGTCCTCCAGCAGACAAGGGAGCAGAGGCTGAAGGCTAGCCCACAGCTGCAGCCCTGGCAGCAAGGCTGATGGGGGCAGGTTTTTTCCTTCACCCCTTTGGGCTGTCTCAGGTCTCCCAGCCACAAGCAGAGGTGCAACAGCCTGACACTAAAGAAACAACATCTTAGTGCCTTACAAGAGGCAAAGTAAGGCACTCCACTCAGTACGCCTCAAAGCCTTGCATGGCTCAGGGGTTTTGTCTGTTTCTTTTCTTCTTCCTTGAGGTTGGTAGGAACCTATCCCTTCTTTGTTTAGCAACCCTGCCTGTAGCAGGGGTGCAGCATCATTTTAAACTGCTTTCTGTTTCTACTGATAAACTCTTTCAACTAACTAGGAGACAGTTTTGTATTGCAGTGATCAGCTGAAGAATTCCACTGTTCAGTGACAGACTGTATGAAGACATTTTACGCTGCTCTTTTTCCTTAGTTGGTGGTGGTTTGACCTGGAAATATAAACTCTGAAGTTCAGATAAAAGATTAATTCTATTGTTTTGTATATTGTACATCTCTGAACTTTCCGCACTGTTAGAAAGCAGGAATTTTGAGTTTCACAGCATAGAAAGCGAGAGTTTGTACATAGTTTGAATTAAAAATCCTGGGTAAAAATATAAATCAAGGGGAATATTCGGAGAATGTGCCATGCACCAGTTGCAGCCTGGGAGCCAGGGCTTCAGCAGAGGGTTAAAGAGGGTTGTTCAGCCATCAGAGAAGAAAAATAGGCTACTGTGGGCAGACCTTACACAATAATGGCCCATGGAAACAAGTAGGGATACCCACATTGAGACGAGCAACGACGTCCAATAAAAGTGGCATGAGAAACCAAGAGAAATCTTGTTTATATAAGTCTGTGAAAGTGAAAATGAAAGAGAACGCAGCAAATGGTTCCAGTCATCCATGCAGCTCTGCAGATAACGTGACAGAGAAAAGCAGCAATAGCCGTGTGTCACAGAAATGTTATGAAACCACAACTGGTTTAGATATTGCACAGTTTGCAAAGGCACCATGCAGCTGGCTGCAGCCAGGGGTTAGGAGTAAATTCTCATTCGCATGGTTCCATCTGCAACATGCATTAACATCACATGCAGGGGGGAAAAAAATTGCAACTAATCTACACAGCAGGATATTGCAGCAAGTCAGACCCACGCTTCCTTTTCTTCTTACATATTAGTAGCTTTTCATCACTATTTCTCTCTGAGGCCATGAAAAAAATCTTCAAATAAAAGTGAGGCAGCCATCAGGTCAAATGATTCAGGAGCAGAGGCTGACATTAGCACCTACCCTGGCAATGAGAGTACTTAAAATGGTCTGTTTTGACTTCCTACCTCAGAAGAGCCCTATAGTGTAAAAGCAGTACTGAGTGTGAAAGTTTGAAGAGGGATAAAGAAACAAACCAACCCCCCTGTTCGGGTAACTACTTCTCAGCCTCCCCCAGAAGTTACTGACCGAAGCATGTTCCCAAAATCGGTTCAGCTGACAGACAAGTTCAGGTCAGTTTAACTGTTCTCCCCAGCGAATGGAGCAGAAGACACTGTGCTTTCATGTGCCTGCAGAGCAGATGAGGAAGCTGAGCCTCAACATAATGTACCATCTAAAACATACAGTAGAGGAAAAGCATTAAGGTAATGGAAACTCAATGTTTCTAGTGTTCCAAACATATAAATAGAACCCGAGCCAGTACATTAGACAATTGACTGGCTTTGTTTGAATGCATGCAAGAATAAATGGAAAGATCCTTATTTCCTATCCCAAGGGGCAATTATTTTCAGAGCCTGGTTTTGTGCACTAATAAAAAGCAAGATTCCATTGTCTGGCAGCTAAAATCTTACTGTATATACTGTATAAGTGAACAGTGCAAAAAGGGGGAAAAAAAAATCAACCTGGCATCACATTCTCAGATGAGCAATTGTCCTTTAGCTCTCACCATACCTAGCATATTTCCGTGGGTAGATACACAATACAGAGAACTGGTGAAATACACAGATATAAGTCAATGTACATTTGTTTACAGATGACCAAAATGCTCGTTCTTCCAGTGTTACAATGGGCCCAAGCAACATGAACAGGAATTCCACAGCTCTCTCATGCAGGGAGCTGAGTTGCAACTCAAACTACAACACAGGCTTTGCCCCAGTCCACTGCCAGCAGCAAATTCATTCCTTTCTTTGAGCTTCCCCCTCCTTCCTTCTCCCTGTACACCTTCAGAAATTTGCCTTTACATTTCAGAGGAAGAACAGTGAGAATAAGAATTTATACTTTGAATGTTTCATCTGTTGTTCATTATCCAGAACTGTGTAAAAACACACTGCTCTGCTGCAGTTGGAATTGCATTCTCTTGCTGTTTTGTCCAGTGCCATCATTTGCAACATTTGCCCCAGCCCCACAACAGCTGCATCCGTCAGGTGCTGTAATTTCAGGGGCAGCATAAAGGCAGAGCTGGCATCACTCCTGCTTTAGGAAGCTCTGCCATGCAAGTCCCCCTTCAGGAAGCTTTATTTGGCTGCGTTGCATCTGCGACGGCGAGTGCCTCAGATGCAGCCTCACCACTTTGAGGACTTTCTGCAAAATTCCTTACAGCACTGAAACCAGATGGCACATCTATCACATTTCACATGCCAGGATTCTGCAAATATTTATCATTAGAGAGACAAATTATTCCAATAAAGGCAGATTCACTGGAAGGCAAAGCTGGCGGAGATTGATTTTTATTTAGAGGAAGCCTTGCAGTTTGTGTTTAGATTTCAGTTTGTGTTCTATTTAAATAGGCAGCTAGCATGATCATGACAGCTTAGGAAGGGGGGGGAAAAAAAAAAGAAAAAGGATTCTTGGAGATACATAGCATGTTTAATTGAAACCATTAGTTTTACTGGCAAACAGCTCCGTATTTCTGTTCTGTTAATCTGAACAAAGTGCTGCAATTATGACTCAATACATAATGTCCTCTAGTGCTACTCGCCCCACATTCCCCAAGTATAGAAAGAAAACCAAAACTGTTCTCAGTTAACAAAACATTCCATGCTTCTATCCAGAATATTTTTTATTATATGGTTATCATATACATCAGCATTATAGCGGAACATTTACAAATATGTAAAGATAGTTCAGAACCTCCATTATTCACATACACACGAACTCACACACTCATTTTGCATGTCTACTCAGTTGCCGGGTGGATGATGCACAAAGTTGCTGCTTTGTGAGCACACACCTCAGATTAGATTCCATTTTCAGTGGCAAGAATCGCAATATTAAAAAAACAAACAAGTCTTAAATACCCTGTATAACATACCTGTGCATAAACCTAAAGATATGTTTAGCTTACCCATTACCTTTGAAATACTTACCAAAATTAAAATCTGAAAACCCATTTGTAAAAAAAAAGTATTAAAAAGTTCACCATTATTTACAAATCCGATTAAATTACACATAAATTACTATTTACATTCAACACACTGCTTCCCTTAATACACATAAAGCCTCCCTGGAAATTATTTTTTGGCCTTACGAGGCAAAAAAAAGTTTTAAAAAAAAAAGTTATGTGCCTATTTTTCCAAGTTCCCCCCCCAATTAAAAAACAAAAAGACAATATAAATAGGTGAATAAAGCTGCAATATCCTCAAACACAGAAAGTGAATTTTCTAGGAGTTTTCATTTTGTACTGATCCTCATTAAAAAAATACCGAGATAATTTCCACTGCAGCCAACATTACTGCAGTGTTTAAAAGCCTGAACATTTCCATAAAAATAAGTATGACCAATGCCATCAGATAACTTTATCCACCAGGATTTTAGCACTCTCTTATGGTAATCTGAAAATAAAGGGAAAAAGGAAAAAAGAGAAAATCTTACTGTTTTCAGGTGTTTGTAAAAAATTTTTAATGTACATCAATCTATATAGCACTGTTTAATACTGCTTTACTGCTGCTGTTGCATTAAGAGAGAATAAAACCCTGAACATTTATCTGATAACAA